AAAACCGATCCTGGGGACATGGTCCAGACCTCTGGGGGTCGACGTTGCGAAAAAATCGCGACGTCGGGGTCTGGGACCGAGAATTCCACCCAGACATCCGAAAGCTAATGTCTGTGCCGCCCCTTTGTTCCCCTAACCATCGGCGACGACGGCTCCCTCCAGCCCAGGGAGGACGTGGGGAGCCTCGCACACGAGACGGAGCAGCTCGTCCACGACAGGGAAGAGGCCATCCTGAGCGCCAAGTCTCGGCGCCCCTCGAAACCCAGCAGGGTGAATGCGGCTGGGGCCTCTCCCGCTACCCGGAGCTTCTCTTTCCGGAGGCCAGAGACGGGCGCCGCCGTGTCGCCCAGAGCGTCGTCTGACGCGACCGCGCCGCCCGACCGGGCGCCGTCCAGGGCACACGAGCCCCCGACCATCTGATCAGCGCCTAGGCCTCTCAGCTGCGGTCCGACTAGATGAGCTCGGAGAAACGTGCCGTATCGCCGATGCATCGGCGATGCGGGTCGATGTGGTGGAGCCCAGTTGTCACCGCGCTGGCATGACCGATGCATCGCCGATGTCGTCGATGCATCGCCGATGCATCGACCATGTATCGCCGATGCATCGGTGATGCGGCGTGAGCCTCCGACCCCATCTAGGAGGCCTCTAGCCCGTTGCGCCCAAGCGCGCGAGCGGGCACAGTAGGCACATCGCATCAGAGATGGGCCTCCCAAGGGGTGCCCCACGACGGATGCAGATCTCCCAGCGGGGCCGCAGAGCCCTGGGGCAGTCCGGGCGAAGCTCAGAGTTGACGGAGGATGTGCCCACAGGTGTCTCACTCAGGGCGGCAAGACGTCGTGGGAATGACACGTCCAAAGATTTCAAGTGTCCCTCATGCTTCCACGTGTTGCGCACGGACTCCAGAAGCGAGGGGCGCCAGAGGCTTCAGAGCTCCTGGAACGCATCCCGAGCCGATCGTATCCTGACGTCGTCGTCATGCGTATAGCAGTCGGCGGCGAGCCCGGGAGGGAAGTGAGAAGCGGCGGGCCTTCTCAGAAGGCGCAGAAGTCCCTTGGCCTTCTGAGAAGTTGTCCAAGCCTTCCCCGAAGACACCGACAACTCCTTGGAGGGCTGGATCGCTTCTGGGAAGCCCCGCCACCTTATCAGAAGGCCTTCTCCTTCTCCCTTCCCCCCTCGCTCACCGCCGAAGCTGGATCTCTATGGTTGTTAGTATAGCCCTCCTCGTGCACCCAGGCGCTGCTGGCGCCAAAAAGGGGCTTCGTTCCTTATCCAGCGATCCTTCTGATAGCACCTCGACTGTACAGCGGGATCTCTTCTCGCCTTGGCTGGCGCTTGTGCCCACCGTGCCCCGCTCGACGGCCCAGCGCCCTGCCGCCGGTTGTCGTCGTCGCCGTCGCCGTCGTCGTCGTCGTCGTCGTCGCCGTCGCCGCCGTCGTCGTCGTCGTCGTCGTCGCCGTCGCCGTCGTCGTCGTCGTCGTCGTCGTCGTCGCGAGAACCCCTGGGCCTCGTGGCTTCCGGGGCGGAGACCCCGCGCCACGGAGGCCAGGGGGGACCCCGCCGCCGCCCGCGCTCCGCTGGCGGGGGTGCGCCGCGGAGCGGCCGTCGGGAGCCATGGGCAACGGGGGGATAGGCAGAGCTCGCGAGGATCCCAGGCCCCCTCCTCCTCCTCCCTCCCCCCCCCACCTCCTCCTCCTCTCCGACCTCATCTCGATGTCCTCCTCCTCCTCCTCCTTTCCTCCTCCTCCCCTCTTTTCCGTTCTCCTCCTCCACCTCCTCCTCCTCCGCCTCCGCACTCCTCCCTCCATCCTCTCCTCCTCCTCCTACCTCCTCCTCCTCCTCCTCCTCCTCCTCCTCCTCCCCTCCTCCTCCTCCTCCTCCTCCTCCTCCTCCTCCTCCTCCTCCTCCTCCCCCCGCAGGCGGGGGCCCCGATCGGATTGTAAGGCGAGCCAAGCCAGCGATGTGAAAAGATCATGACGGAAGATTTTTCGCCTCATGACCGTCCAAAATGGCCTGCATCGCACCCCAGGACCGTCCAAAAACGATTCAGGATGAACCCCTCTACTGGGCCCCAGGACCGTCCCAGCCCCTGCGGGCCCCTACCGGGACACAGGACCGTCAAAAAAACGACTCGGGATGAAAAAGTGGTCCCGGGGAATGGGTCGAGTTCGTGATTGTTGGATGTCTTGTGCATCTTGAGGAGTGTACCCTTGGATGTTCTGTGTGTGTTTTGGCCAGCGGAGGTTCTCATGTTCTTGGAGGAGGTTCTTCTGTCCTGGGTCCGACCGCAGGGGGGGATGCATCGACCCCCAGTCGCCCACTGATCGCTGGTAGGGGTCTGATGGCTCCACCCTGCCCAGGAACGTGCGGATTCCAGGCCGATGTCCCCCGCCCCATGCCAGTCCCCCCATCTCGTTGCCCCTCGGGGGGGGTGAAGAAGAAGAGATGGCGGGCGGTTTTCCTCGATGCGGATATCCATTGCCGGGCCCTGCGGCCCAAAAAAAACGCTGTCCAGGAGGAAAAGAAGTCAGGAGGAGGAGGAGGAGGAGGAGGAGGAGGAGGAGGAGGAGGAGGAGGAGGAGGAGGAGGGAGTGAGCCGAGGCCTCTGAGAATCGGCACTGTGAGAGGAAAAACACATGGCGTCGGAGCGTCTTGGTCCGGGGCAGCGGCAGGGAGGGCTGGGCTCGGGGCGGGGCGCGTCGACCCGCAGCCGGCCCTTTGCTCGCCGAGAGGAGAGCCCGAGGGCCCCACCCCGCCCAGGAGCGTGCGGATTTGCCACCGCCCCGCCCCGCCCCGCAGCGGAAGGACTTGCTGCCGGAGGGAAAGAAGCACACAGACACCATGAATCGTCGATTCCCCAGAAAATATAGGAAAATATGGGAAGTGGGGGGGGAGACAGAAACCTAGAAAATGTGGGAACATATGGGGAATTATTTGATTTGTGTGTATTTGTTTGTGTGTCCCAGGGTCCCTTCATTGCTGCCGGGGGCCTATCGCCGATCCATCGGCGACGCATCGCCGAGTCCAGCTCGAGGTGTCCCACCCGAGCCGGTCGCCTCACGTCGTGGCTCCTGGGGGGGAGGGGGTAGCCCCGGGTGGGGTCAGCCGAGGAAGAATAATCGCCGGGAGCGGAAGCTTTCGAAGGTCCGCGCGGATTTCCTGTGTCGGCGCCAGAACCCCCCCCCCCCCCCTCCCTGGACGGCGCCGGAGGCGCCGCCAGGGGGCCCGCGCTCCGATCCGAGAAGTCCGCGCGGACCTCCGAAAGTTTCTATGCTGGTGCAGCTATGTGGGCCGAACGAGCCCAGCTGGAGGCTGTCGTTTCCGCCTTCCGGGGGTCCTCCAGGGCACGCACGCACTCTGGCCCCCTATCCCATTCTTGCGGCCCCCGACTGCTGTCCGGGTCCAACCGCGCAGCAGATTGGCCCCTGCTGCGAGGCGCGCTGTGCTGCGCCCAGCGGCGCCCGCCCCGTCGCTCGCCGATGGCGGAGCGCCCGTGCTCGGTGCGCCGGGTGGCGTAGCCTGCAGGTCCTCGTTCCGCGCGGGCACGCCAGCCCGCCGCCATTCCCTGGAGGCCCTGGGAGGAGGGCAGCGGCGGAGAGGAGCGCGAGAGATTGGTCGGCGTGCCCCAGAAAAAAGATAAACAAAAAACGAAGGCGGCATGTACACCTGCCCTCCGCGGGGGCGGCAGGGGAGCCCTGGTCTCGGATGTCACCGCTGGGAGGGTCAAGTCAGCATCGGCGCTGGTAGATATCTCAATGACTTCTTACTGGGGCTTCATAGCCCATAGTCGTTCTCACGAAGTTGTCCCAGAAGTTGCCTCCTGACCCAGTTCAGGACGGAGGAGCATCGGCTCGTAAATCGGCGATGCATCGCCGAGAGATCGGCGGGCGGGCCCCCCGTGCAAAAGGCGGAGCACCTTGGGCTCGGTGGGGCACCCAGGCCAGGGCCCCCCACCCCACCCCACTCGGCGTCCCTCGGGCCCGCCGCAAACCCCGTCAACGTGGCAGCGCAGCAGGCGGGAGGTGAGCATGGCTACCCGCTCAGACTCGGTGCCCCGTCTGGACTAGCCCGGGGTCTTAGGCACCCCCTCCTTGTCCGCCTTTTCGATCTCCTCCTGCTCCCCCGTTCTCCTCCTCCTCCTCCTCCTCCTCCTCCTCCTCCTCCTCCTCCTCCTCCTCGTCATCAGCATCATCATCATCATCATCATCATCATCATCATCATCATCATCATCATCATCATCATCATCATCATCATCATCATCATCATCATCATCATCATCATCATCATCCGTCGAGGCATGGGGCCGGGAACCGTTTGACCGCCCCCTCCCACGCAGCTTCGCTGCGCCCGCACGATCGTAAACCTCGGCCTCAGTGCATTCACTGGGAGGCGGCCACTACAGTCATCTACCCTGAGATGTTCCACGTCACCATCACGAAAAGGATCAAAACATGGTGGCCCCAGCTCGCACTACCTCCTGATCTTGCGGATCGGAGGCGGAGGCTCCGACAGCAACTCTCGGTCGCCTCCCCAGGCGTCTGATCGGCAAACTACCGCACGCTGGCCAGTGCCTGGCCTACGTCCTTCAGGATGCACGTTGGTCATCGACGTTTGCCCTGCCGGTTCGGCTGCGAGGACGCTAACGATAAGATCGCCCTTTACTTCACTTGTCGCGGCGCTTGGTGGGCAGTTTGCCAGGCGACGCGATCATTCGCAAACTCTTCTGCGCTACACAGAATCGGCCTCGGCGAAGGAGCGGCGTACCAGATGGATGACGACAGGGAGAACGATCTTCCGCAGACCGTTGCGCGGCGGGCACGGCTATACCACGTCCACAACATCCTTCGCCATCGGCCTGGCGCGCATGTCCAGCCGCTTTGCGCGGCTGTGACTGCAGCGAGGATCGCGGCCCACCGCGTTCAAGTACCACCCGCATGTCCGACTGGAAAAAATTCCAGAACTCCCAGAACTCAGCCTGCAACTACTCCCAGAACTTCCAGAACTACGACTGAGAGGCCCCACCAGCCGCGAGGCCAGTCAGCCATTCTGGGCCGCCATCTGCGGGCTTTCCTTCTCCTCCTCCTCCTCCTCCTCCTCCTCCTCCTCCTCCTCCTCCTCCTCCTCCTCCTCCTCCTCCTCCTCATCATCATCATCATCATCATCATCATCATCATCATCAGCATCATCCTATTCCGACTCCTACTCCTCTTCCTCCTCCTCCTCTTCCTCCTCCTCGTCCGGAGAAATGAAAGCAGCAGGGTGCCTTTGCCCTAGCTGCTGTTCAAACCTTGGGAAGCTTCCGGGCCGCAGAAGGCCCGGGCGCGAAGCGGGAAAAGGGCCGATGGACCACAGGACTGGATTGGAGCTAATTAGATCGGCTGTCAGCACCCAGGGAACCACCACCACCACCACCAGGAGGGGGAGGGAGGTCGTCAGCGTCGTCGAAGTCCGTCCCACCGCCCGCCAGGCCGCCGCCCGCTGGAAAGGAAGGGGGGGAAGACCCAGGTGGGCCCCAGGCGGAGACAGCGCGTCCCCGAAAGCCCACCCGCCGAGGCCAGCGAGCGCCTGCATGATGGCGATGCCGAGGCGGCACGCCATCACCTGCAGCTGAGCCCGACGCTGAATCGAGCCCCCGGCAGCCTTAGTGATCCACTCCGTTTTCGCCGTGACGCGGGGCTGGGCCCCCCACCAGGCCGGCGCGACCCGCAGTTTCTCCCCGAGTTCGAGCCGACGTCCAGCAAAACGCGAGCATTCGACCCAGAGGTGCCGAGCCGACGCCTGGGTGTGCCCGCAACAGAACGGGCAAACGCACGCGCCGCCGTGCCTGCGGGTCGGCGTGCACACGGCCCCGCCCCTCCAGACGGCGAGGAGGTTCGTGTCGTATCGGCTTAACGATCGCCGGAACTGGGCCCAAGGCGGCGCGCTCTGGGCAGCCAGATCAATCTCCCCGATCCTCTCTTCGTCGTGCCGCGGCGGGGGCCCAAGCGCCGCCCGGGGGCGAAGGAGCGCCGCCAGGGCGCACTCCTGGAGAACGTGCTGACCGCGACGCGATCGAATGAGGCGTCGAAAGCCTTCTGGGGGGGGGCGAGGGGAGGTCCCAGGGTACCGGGTTTTCGCTTCGCGGCTGTCAGCGGCGGCAGCAGCGGCGACCGCCGCCGCGGCCCGAGGGTCGAGCCCCGGGGCCGGAAGCAGCCAGACGTCTTTTGGAAGCGACCCGGTCGCGACCGGGAGCAGCCCGAACACGCCGGAATGCTCCGAGAGCGCCACCGAGAACAACCGCGACGCGGGAACCCCCCGAGCCGCCTTCAGCACAGTGCACGCCGCACCGAAGAGAGGGTGCAACGAAACCCGCTCGGCGTACCATCGCCGAGCGCACCACCAGGTGCAGCGAGTCCAGACAACAGACCGAAGCGTGAGCGCGATCAGATCACCTGGCGGGATCGCGCAGAACGGAGCCGACCACCGATGTTTAGGAGCGACGCACATCAGGACCGCGAGCTCCCTGATCCGCTGCCCGCCGGGGACCATGCGGAGCCGGCGCACCTGGGAGCGGATCTCGTCCCACCCGTCCCGAGGTTCAGGCAGCTGGGGCCAGGTCGCGGCGTCGCCGACAACGGCCCGCACTCCTAAGTGTTCGGCGCTCTGGGTGCCCGACCAAACCTGCCGCTTCCGAACGTCCTCCGAAAAGCCGAGCCGCCGGTCGATCTCCGCAGTGATCGCTAAAGCTCGGTCCCGATGAAGCGCCGCGGCGGCCTTAAGGGAACGGTTGTCCACGTAGGACCACGCGCGCGTCCTGGGCACCGAACGGACCGCGGCGTGCCAGGGGCAGACTCCTCCTCCTCGTCCTCCTCCTCCTCCTGCTCCACCGCCTCCTCCACCGCCTCCTCGTCCTCCTCCTCCCCGTTTTCCTCTTCGTCCTCCTCCTCCTCCCTCCTCCCCCCCCTCCTCCACCGCCACCCCATCCCCCCCCTCCCCGTTGACGGCATTCTGGAAGCTTCTGTTGGGCGTCCCCGGAGGCCGCTGGAGATCTTTGCGGGAGCCTGCGGGGCCCGATGGGGGCCTTTGGACGGCCCGTGGAGTCGTCTCGGTTCTGCCGAGCTCTTCTCGAGCAGGCTCGGTTGAACCGAAATTGGGCCGCCTGTGTGTGTCTTCGGCCAGTCTTGGCTGTCTTGGACCGTCTTGCCAACTCTTGGGGGGGGTATCGGGCAGTCCTGGGGGCCGTCTCCGGGCCCTGCTAGAGGGCAGTTTTGGGGGGCCGCCGTGGGCGGGGCGTCGGGACTCTCGCAATCTTCCCGCCAGGAGGTCTACGGCCGAAAGTATCGGAAGCAAGCACTACATGGGGCGCTCCAAGGAGGGCCTCGCCTTCGAGGATCGCAGGAGTTGTCATATCTTCCTCGGCAGAAGGCAGCGGAAGGTCGGCGGAAGTAAAACGAGGCCGCCTCCGCCGGCGGAAGGAAGCCGGCGGAAGGCTGGCGGAAGACGGCAGGAGTTAAAAAGTTGTTTTCCAAGAGACGACAACCTTTTTGGGCTCAGGGTTTCCGAAGTCGGCCACATGGTTCCAATGGCTTCCCATTAAGCTTTGCATATCTGAGCCTCGCTGGAGGCATATCTTACCATCCAGCCGCCGTGCCCGAGTTGAATGTTTGAGACCTCTCGGATGTTCGCTGGGATCTCGTCGAGGCCTCTCAGGCCACAGTCATTGATTGTCCGTTAGTGTTTCAATGTTTTTCGGGAGATCCTTTCGAGCTTCCGAGGCTCCAAGACGTCCCCCAAGAGGCTCCAAGACCGCGCCAGAGGCCCAGGAGGCGTCCAAGACGGCCCAGGACTCGCCCAAGACAGCCCCAAAAGGACCGCAAGACAGGGAGCAGGAACCGAAAGCCTTGGTTCCCAATAGGCCGCCAAGAGGGTCCCAAGAGGCTCCCACAAGGCCCCAAAAGGCCCAAAATAATCCCCAAGAGGCCCCACACCAGCCCCCCAAAGGTTTCAAGCTGCCTCCAGCCCGAGAAGCCTCGACGAGATCCCAGTGAACATCCAAGAGGTATCAGACCCACAACCCAGGCACGGTGGCGGGCTGGGCCGAAAGCCATTAGACCTGGCCCGGCACAGAAACGGAAAGAGCGCTTCAGAAACAGAAAACCGAAATTACTCACACCACCGTTCGTACTGGGAGCCTTGGCGTTGAGAGCTTGTTACGTCACCCCTCGCTCTTGGGAGCCTTGGTGTTTAGAGATTGTTGCGTTGCCGCCCGTTCCTGAGCCTTGGCTGGGCCTTGGTGTGAGGAACTTGTTACGTCACCGCTCTCTGCTGGGAGCCTTGGTCTTATCAGCTTGTGTACGTCACCGTTCGCTCTTGGGAGCCTTGGTGTGAAGAGCTTTTTGCGTTACCGATCGCTCTTGGCGTCTCTGGGCTTTCTTGGGGGTCCTATTGGGGCCCTTGTCGGGCCCTTTCCGAGGCCTCTTGGGAACCTCTTGGGGGCCTCTTGGGGCTTCTTGGGGGGCTCTGGGGGCCTCCTGGGAGCTTCTTGGGGCGAAAGGCTAGACTTTTCGGTTCGTGGTCCCCCTCTTGGGGCCGTCTTGGGGCCCTCTTGGGCCGTCTTGGGCGCCTCTTGGGCCGTCTTGGCGCCCTCTTGGGCCGTTTTGGG